CAATGTTCCACCAATCCGACCTAACGCAGGTTCTAATCCCTGCTGCTATCAGTGCTATAAAATGGATTAAACAAGAAGTCTTGAAGCGTAAAAGGTATATGAGAATCAGAATAGTTGCAAACAGCTTAGATGGGCTATTCATATCGAAATACTTTAGCACTCCTCTGCAATTGGAACTGCCCATTAAACTCATGTTGGAGACTTCATTGAGGTTTTCGATTCATTTTTTCTCAACTATGAAGATCTTTTGAGGTTAACGAGGCATTACTAAATAAAGCTGAGGAATTTGTTTGTTCACTGTATGAAGAAGATATGAAGAATGTAAATGATACCAGGGCACGTCTATTTAACACTGGCAAACATAAAGATTATACTCCACCACCCAACTCTGATTCACTGAAGAAGCATGTGGCCCTCAAATCAGTTCTTGAGTTGGCAAACTGCAAGTGTAAGAAAAATAGTCAAAATAATTTATGCAAGTGTGCCAAAATCAACTTAAATTGCACAGATTTTTGTTTTTGTATTGACTGCAAAAATCACAGTCGATTTTCGAGAGAGTGGATTTCGAAAACAATTCAGAAGAAAGTGAATTAGATATTGCAGTTGATTTAATAAGTATCATTTATTTTTTTCGGACATTCGTTAGTGTCGTAGTCCTGTTTCTAGAAATAATATTGCCTTTGTTCAAATACATAACCACATAAACTAAAAAAAGACTAATTGTAATATTTCTGTTCACTATGTTATGTACATATTGTACATTCATTTAATTTTCTTGACTTTTCCGGTAAGTTTCTAAGTGAGAAATAACTGATTTATTTGTGTTTTCGTGATCACGATGTTAATTTGTGACTTCATTGCTTAAAATAAATACGTTTGATAGCTTCTATAAAATGGATGTAGCTTTTTATGCTGTTCTTGTTGTAAACTGCTTGTGGTTATTACATAAAATTTATTCGCTAATGTGAATCAGCGTTGTTGGTGTCGCTGCTTTCGAGGTCACTCGCGACTCCTGTCACACAATTAAAAGATTTTTTGTTGTTGGTTACATGTATGCCATATTTTTCGTAATCTACCTAATAAATTATGATTGACTGAGGAAGTCCGATTTTGGTCAGGCAAAACATTACAGGAATACATTTGTGTTAGTGTGCTGTAGGGCTCTCGAATTGCATAGTTCTTATGTATGTGTTGTAAACTTATGGTTATTGAATTTCCGGGAACCTCTTATATTCAATTTCGCATCAGGATTGTGGAACAAGCTGTAATGCGTTCAGTATGTTCATTTTCACACAAAACTGGAGAATTTATTTAGATACCAGATGTGCGCTACGAAACTCATTTTCTGGGCGTTTTCAATGCTTCGTCTCACGACCCACATCCGTGGTAAGGATATACAAGTGTTTAATAACTTACTTAAACATTTTTCAACAACGTCTTAGCATAACTTAACTAATAATAACTAAACAGGACTATGGAAAGGCTGCCCAACTCAACGCAAGGTCGAGCAGTAATAACTAATATTCATCCGCTCGCTAACAGCTGATTCGATTCAATTGTTAAGTCATGCAGAAGTCATTGTTCATTGCCGAAAATATAGAGAATATAGGACAGATCGAAGCACATATTTCTTGTAGTAAAAGCGTCTTTTCCGTAAAACGTGCAACTTTTGGAAGTGGGAACAGGGCAATATTTGTTTCTAAATTTTTAACATTTTAAAATCATTTTCATTCAAAATCATTTAACCTTTTTAAATCATTTTCAGGTAGTTACCTGATGTGCGCTACGAAACTCACTTTCTAGGCGTTTTTCAGGGCCTCGGCTCGCAGCCTAATGAGAAATGCCAGGGGTTGCCGACGCCTGATCTAGATGTTTTATCCAGACAAAAGTGGCAACCATGTTTAGCGGTACAGACGATCACCTGAAATTAAACAAGCTACATCATGTACAGGGCGTACAAGGTCGTACTCTCTGTTTTCCTCGTAAGTGAATCATTTCACGATTTGAGGTGATCACCTGGGCATTTTGGATGACCATCCTTATATGATATCCAGGCGGACCTCATTAAGTCACTGTGTCGTAGTAGTGACATAATTTTTGGATGACGTACCGCAGTCCAGTAGTTCTGTAGTTAGACGGAGGTTAGGAATGACATAGGCAAGACCGGGACTACACGAGACCCGAATAGTAGCATCAGAAACTGTAGAATACAAAAAATACTTGCGTTTTTCACTCAATTTCTCACTCCTGTTATGCTATTCAGTTATTTTTTGAGTAAAGCTGCAAAGGCAGAAACCTGACAGGTGATTATTTCAACCTAGGTAAAGCTAGCGGCCACTTCCAGCGGACAGTTACCAATTTTTCCAAATTTGAACCCGCCATGTTCCACGACAGTTGTCGCGAATTCACTTAATTGCGCCTACATGGATGCAAAAAATTAGGCGATTCTCCCTTTTAGAAACTGACGACAGACCTGAAACATAATAAAAAACAAAAATGGTTGAAACAACACATTTTTTCCTCGATAAAATGAATTATTGCTCAGAAACTCATTTATCGACAAAATCTAAAATTTAACTGAGTTGCAGCGTAATTTATGCAAGAAATAATTTTTTCTCATCCAATTCAGTAATACAGTGAATTTGATGAAGATATATAAAACATATATTAAATTTTAAAACAATTCCACTATGCGGAAAGTTAGGAAATACCCCCCAATTAAAGGAAAATTTTTAAGAAATTATCAATATAACTCAGTTAAAGCGTAATTTATGCAGGAAATAATATTTCCTCATTCAATTCATTAATACAGTGTATTTGGTGGACAAATATAAAAAACATATTGAAATTTAAAAAAAATCCACCGTGCGGAAAGTAGAAAAATTCCCCCCAGTTTAAGAAAAAAATATAGAAAATCTCCAATTTAACTCAGTTAAAGCGTAATTTAGGTAAGAAGGAATTTTTTCTCATCCAATTCATTAATGCAATGTGTTTGGTGGACAAATATAAAATAGATATCAAAATTTAAAAAAAATCCACCGTGCGGAAAGTAGGGAAATTCCCCTCAATTTAATGAAAATATTTAAGAAATCGTCTATCCAACTCAGTTAAAGCATATTTTATGCAAGAAAGAATATTTTTTCATCCAATTCATTAATACAGTGTATTTGGTGGACGAATATAAAATACATATTAAAATTTAAAAAAAATCCACTGTGCGGAAAGTAGGGAAATTCCCCCCAATTTGATGAAAATATTTGAGAAATCGTCTATTTAACTCAGTTAAAACGTAATTTATCCAGGAAATAATATTTTCTCATCCAGTTCATTAATACAGTGTATTTGATGGTGATATATAAAACGAATATTAAATTTTAAAAATATTCCACCGTGCGGAAAGTTGGAAAATTCCCCTAACTTATGTTAAAATCAACGGAATCGTAAATTTATATAAATTAAAGCGAAATCTTGTCATATTTATTGATCATTCCCATTCGCCTCCATAACTAAATATTTTTGAAGTTTTATCATGTTCTTATTTCATTTTATTGGTTTACACTACAACCTCGTAACACCCCCTCTCACTCCATATAGCACTACCTTCCGCAAAACCTCAGTAGTAACTTATGCTGGTATCTTTGGGTCACCTTCGGTGAACGTGCAGCCTTAACCCAGTACATCAGCAGCCTAAATCAGAATAGTATTGTCAACCTTAACAGATGAGGTGGCGTCATCAAGATTAGTAACGATTTGACACTTATGGCGCTTCATTTGTTATGTCGAATATGTATGTCGCCGAACCGTTTAATGCTGTTGTTAAAAAATATCTCAGAATTTGAAAGACTGTGAAACTGTATTAAAGAGCTAAAGGAAGTATGGCACACCGTACTAAGACGTTGGAAGAAACGACGATACGATCGATAGCAGCCGCTACGATCACTGTAAACGTATGAAGAAACTTTCAATTCCCAAATGAAGTTTTCACATGAATCAATCAACAAATCGTTTTTTATTCGCCAATCACAAAAAAATGGAAGCAAAAAATATCACGAAAAACTTGTATACAGTAGAAACTCTACGTACGAAAGGCTCTGGATACGAAAAATCCAACAATTCTTTTCCGAAAACTTGCATAGTGATATTTGTTCATTTTAGATTAATTTAATGCAGGGATGTTCAATACAAACCTAATATTTGAATATTGCGACCTTCGAATATCGTTTTTTGGTGTTTTTGAGAATACCGAATATGACGCACATTTCCTAGCGCCGTCAAACTTTCGATTTAAAAAAAAATATTCACAGCTATTCTATTTTTTATCGCAATTGAAATCAGCCGTGCGCGTCGTGGCACTAAATTATGGCCAGCATGAAAGAAATTCAAAAAGCGCAATTACAATTATTACACAATATTCACAATTATTATCGTCTATTCCAATAAATCTGAAAGCAAATTGTGTCGCAATTAATTGTTTTCACCCTCAATTTCGATAGTGACCGAACATAACGGGAATTTTTTTCATTTCTTGCAATTAAGAGTTTATAAAATGACCCTTAAATGTTATTTAATATCAAACGCGGATTTTATCATTATCCCGACGTCGTTGATGACAATATCGTTCACTTTAAGTTGGCGATATCAATAAGCAAAATTAAAATAATAACACCAGACATGAAAGATTAGCGCCGACTCAAATCAAGTAAAAACCGACTTAAAAAATAAAACAAGTTTTCTGGTCTTAATTCTCCATCAGTGGCGGACGGTAATTTGGGAATCAATCATTTGATTATGACGATGGTAAACAAAGGTACATAAGCATACCGTTCTTAGTTTTTATTCGTTATTACTGTGTTCTTCCTTCTTTCCGTATGTTCTTTGTTTATTTATTATGCTGTAATCTAATTTTAACATGTAGTTGTTGGATTTTAAGCATTAATATAATTTATACGAAAATGATGTCCGAGTTTTACGTGGACTTAAAACGGATTAGGGCATTTACAGGTAAAACGCCTTATGTAATACCTAGGGTCTTCGGAACGAATTAATTTCGTGGGTAGCGCTTCTACTGTATATTCATGGCTCTGTACTCAATGGACAGGTTAACGGGAAATGGCCATTTGATCTACTTGTTAGTGTCAAGTGGCAACCCTTTGAAACTTATTTTTACATCAAATGCGTTTTAATGCCAACCGGCCTCGTATGCTGGACATTTCCAAAGTACGTCCAATATCTCCGCAATATCTCCGTTGTAGCATCCAGCATGAAACCAGCGTGGACACACATCACAGCCAATCTTTAAAAAAAGTCAAAATAACATGAATATAAAATTATATATTGCATGTTTATTGAACACCTATTAGGTTACTTACCCATTCTCCTTCTCCCGTCTCCCCACAAAAACTGCAGTACGTCTCCACGCAGTCTGTCAAAAATGTATTTTTTAACTGCGTAATGTTTAGATAATTATCTAAATATCAAATATTCATTTTGTCATACCGGAATTCTGAATCACCCAACTGGCAATTTTCGCCCTTTCATCGATTGGTGAAACAACATGGATGCTTTTAGTTTCCAGCATCATCCAAGCTAACTGCAATCGAATATATGCCAAAGAACCAATAGACAAAATAAGTTGTTTCAAAATAACGCAAAATAGTGTGAAGAAAATAATGAGAATGTTGTTTGGTATATGAAAATAAATTAATCAATTCTTATGGAACAATTTCTTGTGAATAAATTGACAAAGAACATATACTGATGTATGGATAATTAAATTTGTATGACTTCCTATATACCTTTATCACGAGAATTCCACAACTGGATCCATCCCTCTGAATGGGATGTTCAGTAACCGTTGGTGTCCAGTTTTCGCATTCTTTTCGTAAATTCATCCAGTTTCTGTGTGTTGTAACGTGTGTAAATTCAGTTTTACTAATATACTTTTCATGTAACTTCATTTTTAAAAATCAATACTTTTCATTCAATTTCAATGTCATTCACAATTGTCAATGTCATTCCAATTGTAAATACAGTTTGTTACTGGTACAATGTGATTATGTAGTTCATATATTATTTGTAAGAACAGGACACGTTTTTACGAAAACAGCCGAATACTTTCAAAAAGAGAAATAGAATATTAAAAATGAAGGACTGGATAACTGTAAAGAAGATAATTTTAAAAAATCCACTCCAGGATTTGAAAGCGATCTGGCAACAGTGAAGTAAAGGTTTATTGAGTTTCTACTTTAGCTTGTAGTTGAAATGGCTAACGATAAGATGTATTTCAGGAATTGAACTCACTTATAATTTTTACATGCGTGAGTGGTCTCTTCAATTGAACTTCCATACGAATTCAGAAAGTAGAAATTATTTCTCGTTGTGTCAATGAATTGCAAAGATATTTTGTTCGAATCAAAATGAAGAATCAAATACAAAAAAGCAATATGTAATTTTGCCACAACAATTTTTTATTTATTGAATATTATTAAAATTTCAAAACAAAACTTCATCCTCACCAAAAGAACCCAGTGATTTCCATTTATCCTGCACGCAGAAACAATCACGCTATAGTTTCCGAAATTTAACTGTAAAACAAATGAGATGATATAAGTATGATATTAAAGTGTTGTAGGAAAGATGAATATGGACTTTTTAGATAAAAAAACAATGTCGATTTTTCCAACCCTAATTTTGTTTATACCAATGGTTTTCGATCATAGTTCCGCAGGTATATTCCAGCAGTTTTACATTCAAATCCGAGGTGTTCGGCGTCAAATTGTTTTTTGTAACAAAAGTAATCATGAAATCAACTTATACATATCAATTACACCGGGGAGTAAATAGGAGTAAATAATAGTCTGAAAGTATGTGCCGATCAAAAAATTTGAGAACAGTTACAAACGAAATATAAAAATTATTTAATTGCTTGTGATTGAATAAATTATACTTTTATATCCCATTTGGAATCATGTAGAGGTAGAATTGTTATTGAGTTGTCTGTCGGAAACAGTAGCAGTGAGACGGTCATTTATTCCCTGCGCTCCCAATAGCGTACAATCTAGATTCTAAATCTGAACCTATCCTGGTACACCTTTTATATTCAGGTTGTGCGTCATCTATGTGTCCAAATTTCGAGAGTACCGAATTTCCCTACTTTCCGCATGGTGGATTTTTTTTAACTTTCAATATGTATTTTATATTTGTCCACCAAACACACTGCATTAATGAATTGGATGAGAAAAAATTCCTTCTTACCTAAATTACGCTTTAACTGAGTCAAATTGACGATTTCTTATATTTATTTTTTAATTGAGGGGGAATTCCCTACTTTCCGCACGGTGGATTTTTTTAAAATTTTAATATGTATTTTATATTTGTCCACCAAACACACTGCATTAATGAATTGGATGAGAAAATATTCTTTCTTGGATAAATTACGCTTTAACTGAGTTAAATAGACGATTTCTCAAATATTTTCATCAAATTGGGGGGAATTTCCCTACTTTCCGCACGGTGGATTTTTTTAAATTTCAATATGTATTTTATATTCGTCCAACCAAATATTAATGAATTGGATGAGAAAAAATTATTTTTTGCATAAATGGGTTATTCCCTGCGCTCCCAAAGGCGTACAATCTAGATTCTAAATCTGAACCTATCCTGGTACACCTTTTATATTCAGGTTATGCGTCATCTTTGTGTCCATATTTCGAGAGTACCGAATTTCCCTACTTTCCGCATGATGGATTTTTTTTAACTTTCAATATGTATTTTATATTTGTCCACCAAACACACTGCATTAATGAATTGGATGAGAAAAAATTCCTTCTTACCTAAATTACGCTTTAACTGAGTCAAATTGACGATTTCTTATATATATTTTTAATTGAGGGGGAATTCCCTACTTTCCGCACGGTGGATTTTTTTTTAATTTTAATATGTGTTTTATATTTGTCCACCAAACACACTGCAATAATGAATTGGATGAGAAAAAATTCCTTTTTACCTAAATTACGCTTTAACTGAGTCAAATTGACGATTTCTTATATTTTTTTCTTCAATTGAGGGGAATTTCCCTACTTTCCGCACGGTGGATTTTTTTTAAATTTTAATATGTATTTTATATTTGTCCACCAAATACACTGTATTAATGAATTGGATGAGAAAATATCCTTTCTTGCATAAATTATTTTTTAACTGAGTTGGATAGACGATTTCTTAAATATTTTTATTAAATTGAGGGGAATTTCCCTACTTTCCGCACGGTGGATTTTTTTTAAATTTTAATATGTATTTCATATTTGTCCACCAAATACACCGTATTAATGAATTGGATGAGAAAATATTCTTTCTTGAATAAATTACGCTTTAACTGAGTTAAATAGACGATTTCTCAAATATTTTCATAAAATTGGGGGGAATTTCCCTACTTTCCGCACGGTGGATTTTTTTTAAATTTCAATATGTGTTTTATATTCGTCCACCAAATACACTGTATTGATGAATTGGATGAGAAAATATTCTTTCTTGCATAAATTATTTTTTTACTGAGTTGGATGGACGATATCTTAAATATTTCCATTAAATTGAGGGGAATTTCCCTACTTTCCGCACGGTGGATTTTTTTAAAATTTTGTTATGTATTTTATATTCGTCCACCAAATACACCGTATTAATGAATTAGATGAGAAAATATTCTTTCTTGGATAAATTACGCTTTAACTGAGTTAAATGAACGATTTTTCAAATATTTTCATCAAATTGGGGGGCATTTCCCTACTTTCCGCACGGTGGATTTTTTTTAAATTTTAATATGTATTTTATATTCGTCCACCAAATACACTGTATTAATGAATTGGATGAGAAAATATTCTTTCTTGGATAAATTACGCTTTAACTGAGTTTAATAGACGATTTTTCAAATATTTTCATCAAATTGGGGGGAATTTCCCTACTTTCCGCACGATGGATTTTTTTTGAATTTTAATATGTATATTATATTCGTCCACCAAATACACCGTATTAATGAATTGGATGAGAAAATATTCTTTCTTGGATAAATTACGCTTTAACTGAGTTAAATAGACGATTTTTCAAATATTTTCATCAAATTGGGGGGAATTTCCCTACTTTCCGCACGGTGGATTTTTTTTAAATTTTAATATGTATTTTATATTCGTCCACCAAATACACTGTATTAATGAATTGGATGAGAAAATATTCTTTCTTGGATAAATTACGCTTTAACTGAGTTTAATAGACGATTTTTCAAATATTTTCATCAAATTGGGGGGAATTTCCCTACTTTCCGCACGGTGGATTTTTTTTAAATTTTAATATGTATTTTATATTCGTCCACCAAATACACCGTATTAATGAATTGGATGAGAAAATATTCTTTCTTGGATAAATTACGCTTTAACTGAGTTAAATAGACGATTTTTCAAATATTTTCATCAAATTGGGGGGAATTTCCCTACTTTCTGCACGGTGGATTTTTTTTAAATTTTAATATGTATTTTATATTCGTCCACCAAATACACTGTAATAATGAATTGGATGAGAAAATATTTTTTCTTGCATAAATTATTTTTCAACTGAGTTGGATACACGATTTCTTAAATATTTCCATTAAATTGAGGGGAATTTCCCTACTTTCCGCACGGTGGATTTTTTTAAAATTTTGATATCTTTTTTGATATTCGTCAACCAAACCCACTGCATTAATGAATTGGATGAGAAAAAATTCCTTCTTACCTAATTTACGCTTTAACTGAGTCAAATTGACAATTTCTTATATTTTTTTCTTCAATTGAGGGGAATTTCCCTACTTTCCGCACGGTGGATTTTTTTTTAAATTTCAATATGTATTTTATATTTGTCCACCAAATACACCGTATCAATGAATTGAATGAGAAAATATTCTTTCTTGGATAAATTACGCTTTAACTGAGTTAAATAGACGATTTCTCAAATATTTTCATCAAATTGGGGGGAATTTCCCTACTTTCCGCACGGTGGATTTTTTTTAAATTTTAATATGTATTTTATATTCGTCCACCAAATACACTGTAATAATAAATTGAATGAGAAAAAAATATTTTTTGCATAAATGGGTTATTCCCTGCGCTCCCAAGGGCGTACAATCTAGATTCTAAATCTGAACCTATCCTGGTACACCTTTTATATTCAGGTTGTGCGTCATCTTTGTGTCCATATTTCGAGAGTACCGAATTTCCCTACTTTCCGCATGATGGATTTTTTTTAACTTTCAATATGTATTTTATATTCGTCCACCAAACACACTGCATTAATGAATTGGATGAGAAAAAATTCCTTCTTACCTAAATTACGCTTTAACTGAGTCAAATTGACGATTTCTTATATATATTTTTTAATTGAGGGGGAATTCCCTACTTTCCGCACGGTGGATTTTTTTTAAATTTTAATATGTATTTTATATTTGTCCACCAAATACACTGTATTAATAAATTGAATGAGAAAAAAATATTTTTTGCATAAATGGGTCATTCCCTGCGCTCCCAAAGGCGTACAATCTAGATTCTAAATCTGAACCTATC